TCTGGGCCTTTAATTGATGCCACTGTTCTTCCTAACTTGCTCAGCACCCGGCCAGTTCATGCCCATGGTCATCCATGAGACCCAGACCTGGCCATTCTCTAGGGCCAAGGCCACGGTTTCCAGTTTGACTTTCCCATTTGGTTCCTTGCTTCACCGATTCACAGTCTCTTCCCTTCTGAGAAGCCTTTATTCTTTAAAATTCTAGCCCTGCACTGGTTACTGGGTATTCCTCACAGGCTTAACACATATTAATACAATTTGTATTACATTATTCTGCACTCTTGAATATTTTTTTATCTCCTTGAATTGCTTGTAAATGCCTTGCCGTCATGAGCTCTTGTCTTCTGCTTCTTTGGAAACTGCGGCTGGTAGTTCTTTCCTTAAAGAGCTACTCAGACATTTGTTGAATGACAATAGCATTTTCCAAACAGGAGTGTAGACAACAGGGACAGTGGAGTTAGGTAATGATGGTGAAAGTTTTCTTCTTCTTGCCATCAAGCAGGGATCTGGCAAGAGGAAAGCACATCAAAGTAGCCTTGGGATTAATTGTCGGGGGAAAGTTTAATTGATCCTAGGGCTTTCTATCATTCTCTACCGGGGCAAAGGCCATTATTCTCAAGGACAGCTTCTTATCACTGCATTGTTTCAGTGGGTGACGCTGGCCTGACGTGCTGCCTGGATGGAAGGGAGACACACTGTAGGGAAGTACTGATTCGAGTCAGATGCGATCCTCAGCCGTGGAGCAGCAGCCCCAATGTCCTAGAGCAGAATCCTGATACTGAAAACTGGGAAGGGTCTTTTGAGGTTACCTTGACCACTCCGTCCATTCATACGTCCATTCATGTATTCAGAAAATATTTCTCGGGAAACTACTATGTGCAAGGTTTGCCACTAGGCCCCATCAAGAGGCTGTTAGGAAGCATGAAATCCTATTTGGAGAGCAGGCATCAATCAAATGGGGCCTCCCAGAGGGTTGTGATCCCACAGCTGAATGGCCTGTAATGCAGATTTTTAAAAATTGGTGCATTGCAATGGGGAATGGGTAGCTCTGCACAACCCTGGTGTCTGGACAGCCCTGAATAGGGGAGAATGAGTTATGACAGGCAGGTGCTGGCTCAACAAAGAGCAGTTTTAATCCATGAGCAGTTTCGGCATTCTCAGTGTGAATAACTGCTTGAGATAAAGTTAGTTAGACCCTGGGTACGAGTCTCAGTATCATGCTTTTTGATGCGTGACCCACTGGTAAGCTACTTAACCTTCCTGTGTATCTCATGTTCCTCAGTGGGATAAAGATGGTAATGACTGTTGTGGGTTGAATTGTGTCCCCCCTGCTCGAAAATGCTTATGTTGAAGTCCTAAGCCCCAGTACCTTAGAATGTGAGGTATTTGGAGAGAGGGTCTTTAAAGAGGTGATTAAGGTAAAAAGGGGTCATATGAGTGGGCCCTAATGCAATAGGACTGATGTCCTTATAAAAGGAGACGATTGGGACACAGACACACAGGAAAGACCCTGTGAAGACACAGGGAGAAGACGGCCATCTACAAGCCAAGGAGAGAGGCCTCAGGAGACACCAACCCTGCCGACACTTTGATCTGGGCCTTTCAGCCTCCAGAATTGGGAGAAAATTAATTTCTGTTGTTTTAGCTGCCCAGTCTATGATACTTTGTTAAGGAAGTGCTAGGAACTTAATACAATGACAGTCACCTGAAAAGATGGAATGACTCAAGGAAGCCTGTAATGTAATGTTGAGGTTACAGTGTGTGGCACACGGCAGGAATCCTGGCGAGGCCAAGTAAAACAGGTTTAGACTGGAAGCTCCATCCAGGTCTCTACGTACACATTCACCACCGCAGCCACCCTCTGTGGTGCTCTGTCCCCATAGACAGACTCAGCGCCTGGCTCACAGTCATGTTACTAAATTGTTTTTTAAATAGCAGCTCCATTCAGTGTCAGCAAGTTCTCTTCACTCTGTGGATGCCCAGTTGAAAGCACTTTTTTCTCCTCCAGGCCATGGTGTTCATTAATCCTGAGCCCTTCATGCTAGGAATGGCCAAAGGACTTGATCCTAAGGGTCGTATGGGGTGATATTTGGGGCCGCATCATTCTCAGCACCTCAGACTTCATCACCGTGGTTAACTGTCTCCACCTCTTTAAGACCTTGGCTCAGTCCAGTTGGCATGTGTGCACAAATGTCCATTTGATTGATCTCTGCTTGGCGATTCTGTGGACATTTTCACAGCCACGTACATGTTGATTCCCTCGTTTCTCTCTCTCTGGCTTTCTCAGATGTGCTCACTGTTGTTGATTCTGATGGGGCTACTTGCCCCCAGGGCCCGCATGGTACTACTAAAATCACAATAGTGACATCAGCCACTTGGGTGTGTGGGTAGCCAGTGGGAGGCAGCTCCATCTGGAAACTAAAAAGAGAAACAAAATCCCCTTCTTGTACTTCCCCCAGACTTTCTGTGTCTTTGCAGGTAGACAGGGCCAAGTAGGGAATTTACAAATTGACACTTTTTTCCCAAAGCAGCTTGATTTTTTAAAAAGTTCTTTCATTCCAAAGAACTGGGAGCAGGGAGTCAGTCAGGTTGGCTGGGAAGCCAGCTCAATTGGAGAAAGGCGGGCTTGTGTGCCCGGAGTCCTGTATGCTTGGAAAGTCTTGATTGTGTGCTGCAAGTGTCACCATAAACCCCAGCAAGAGAAGCCCTCCAACCATTTCCAGCTGTTAACACCTGGAGACTTTCTAAGTTACAATGAAAAGAGCATCCCTTGGCAAGCCGAACTTGACTTTGCGAATTTCATTAGGTGGAGCTTGAATGCTTTTCCTCTTCACGTGAGCACTTCCTGTATCTTACTGATGAACACGCAGTAAAAAGATCAGGCTGCATGTGCCAGAGGGTAGGTGTGGTCCTGGAGGTCTCCCGGGAGCACTTGGCAGAAGGATGACAAGGAGAAAGGCACATCCGGCTAGCGTCAGGACGGTGAGGACGGAAGCCTCAGTGTCTCTTCCCCCTTCTCCCTCCCATTTCTTTATTAGTCATAACAGGATTCAGCTGCAATTGGTCTTGGGTATCAATTTTGGATCTCCTGGAGATGACAGCATTTTGACTTGGTGATGCAAGTAATGATTTCTTTTTCAGTCTGCGGTAATACCAAGATGCGACTTGATGTGGAATCTGGAAGAATCTGTGATGGTAGCTGCCTTAGGGCAGAAAGTCTGTGCATTTTGAGGAAAAGAACTTCTAAGGTGGTAGGTTAATAGTGCAAATGATCTAGGACTCAGGCGTCTTATCTGGATTTGCTGAATCACTTCCTTTCCTTAAAGCTATTCAGTCAGTCTTGACTAGAATCTCCCCGCTCCAAAGCGGAGACTGAAATGACATCATGTATTTATTTAATAATTTTATTAGTCTTCTTGAGGCCGAGACCTATTTGCCCCAGGTCACACATTGAGTTCTTGGCAGAGCTGGGACGTGAACCTCTGACTTCTTTCCCAGCCTGCTGCTCTTCCCCTGATTCTGAGCTGCTTCTGCTTTCGAGGAGTTCTCACCTTTCTGCTCCCGCCTCTGCACTGCAGAGCGTGCCTCTGAGAAAGGAGCCTTCCGTTCTCTCCAGGGCTCTGAGAAGGCCCCTTTTAGCCGCTGGAGGCGGTCTGCTGGAGGCCTGTGCTGAGACGTGGGCTGAGCCTTGTGATCCATGTTTGCTATAATGGGAAGCAGCCCTCAGAAGACAGAGACACGCATTTGTATGCAGCCAGTCGGATGGCATTGACATAAACACAGCACTGATCAAACTACACACAGGCAGTCCCTCTCAGGGAAGACGGACCGAAATGGAATGCTGATTTTTCTCTCCGTCTTCTTTCGAAATCTTCCTTGCCGCCCACCTGATGTATGTTAACTGTTAGGGGCAGTCTAGCAGTGCGATGAAGTGCGGTTTTGAAGACAGCCCTGTGTCCAGATCCATTTATTGATGGCCGCATCTTCCATCTGTAATCTGTGGAACTCTTGAGGGAAGTCACTTTTCTGAGCTTCAGCTCTTTCATCTTTAAACTGGGTATGTTAATGCTTAGCTCCTAGATTTCTAGAGTTAAAAGAATATATGAATGTGACGTACTGTGCGCAGTGCCTCGCGCATATTCAGCATTCAGTGGTCGGTAGGTGCTGTCCTGATCAGCAGAGCATCGTCATCATTCCTGCCTCATTGACGTGGATGGATGTGGTAGTGTATATAAGGAAGTACCCAGTCTAGAGCCTGGCCTGTGGTTATCTTTAGTAAATGAAAGCTGTTGTGATGGTGTGGGATAATGCAAAGAGCTGAACCTTTTAGCAGGTACAACAGAACTGGATGATTCCAACACGTAGATTCTTTTCCCAGCCCTGTTTCAAAATAATGGTATTGCCTTGGGCGAGTCACTTTCCTTTATGGGACTTTACTTTCCTCATCAACCAGATGGGGCCAAGTGGGCCCTGTGTGATATTGAAAAGAGCTAACGGAAGGGAGGGGCATAGCTCAGTGCTGGAATAGAGTTGGGGCCAATCAGTGACTGTTGAGTCTGAATTGCTGCTGACACCCACATGGCTCTTCCTGGAGAGTGAACTGCCAGTTCATCATGAGACCTATAAATTGTGCATACCCTTTAACTCAATGATTCTATATTTAGGAATATACCATCCCTGAATATAGATTCCAAGAGAAAAAGTGGAACAGGGCAGAGTGGAGCCTGTCACACTGGTTCGTAATGGTGCGGTTTAAAATACCTCAAAATGGAAAACTTCACACGTGCCCAGCGTCGTCAGGCATTTTTGGTGATTTTAGCACCATCGAACCCACTTTGACCATGAGGAATGTCAGATGCATGGAAAACGTATGTGGCCCTCAATTTGTGGGGTGTCCCATTTGGCAGGGAGTTGAGCAATGGCAAAGACAACAACCCGCCATTTTAACTTAGTCCCAGAGAGAGTTTGTGATCTTTGAAATCAGTGCCTCAGTCCCTTGAGCATTGCCTTGGAACCTCTGTAGTGCCAGGCCCGTGGCCTCAGGGATCTGCTGGCAGTGCCAGAGCAAACCCAGCTTGTTCAAATCCTGGGCTGCTTAGATGCCCCCTCAGCGAATCCTTTGGCAGCAAGTGACATTCGGCACACGGTGTAGCTGACAGAGGCCCTGAAGCTGTATGTGTGTGGGGAAGGATGTGACGCACGTAGTGGGTTGGAAGGGCCAGGAGCCTGGAGGCTGGCTGGAATTTAAGGGTTAAAGGCCTTTCTGTGTGTAGGCAGAAAGACTGGGCAGAGGCTGGTGGGACCGTGGGCGGACAGATTATCTCCTCGGCCCAGGTTTCTCTGATGGGCTCCTGCCTTGCAACAGCCGTACTTGGGGAATGGGGCTTGGTCACAAAACACTTGGGGGCCTCCCAGCACCTAGGGTGCTTGCCAGAATGGTGATAGTCATCCCTCATGAGAGAAGCCCGTGAGGGAATGTTCACGAAGCTTTTGGCCCCCAGTGAGCACTCAGTGTTAGCCACCTTCCCCCTTCCTGGAGGCGAGCGGGGTCTTCTCTTTGAGGGTGGACTTTTCAGGCATATGGCAATCATCTGGCCAGGATTTTTGAGAAAACTCCCAATTGCCAGTGCCGTCCGGCTGTCCATACTCATACCTAATTATAGCTCTGCAAATAGAGATATGCAGCTTTGAAAACATTCGAATGGAATTTGGAGGGCTGGAAATAGTTACATATACCAATAGGTTATTCCTTCTTTTCATAAAGTCATTATAGTTGATGATAAAAAAGATGAGCGTCAGTAAAATGGGGAATTAGACATGTGATAATCCCTAAGATTTAAGATCTAAAACTTTGACGATTCAGTGCTGTAGCATGGGCAATCTTGGTAGATCATCTCTCTCTTTGTGGCTCCACATTGAGCATAAAATGGCAGTTCAGCCTGGTACACAAATCCTTTCATGATTTGCCCGTGGCTATCTCCTCAGTTGGTTTCATTTTTCTGACATTTTTCTTGAACGTTCCTGAAGATGTACTTCAAACAAGGTATATGTATTAGTTTTCTGTTGCTGCTGTAACAGATTACTACATACTTAGCAGCTCAAAATCATATGGATTCATTTTTTTATGCTTCTAGAGGTCAGAATTCCAACATCAGTCTCCGGGCAACAGTCAAGGTGTTGGCAGGGCTGGCTCCTTCTGGAGGCTCTTGGGGGAGAATCAGTATCCTTGCTTTTTTTAGCTTCAAGCAGTTGCCTGCTTTCCTTGGCTCGTGGCCCCTCCCTCCATCTGCAAAGCGCACCACTGCAACCTCTACTTCCATCATCACGTTGACTTTTCATCTGACGCTGACTCTTCCTGCATCTCCGTTATAAGGATCTTGTGATTACATTGGGCCAAGACAGATAATCCAAAATCATCTCCTCATCTCAAAATCTTTAATCAGACCTACAGTCTCTTTTGCCATGTAATGTAACATTCACATGTTCCCAGTGGCCTTCTTTGGGGGACCGTTATTCAGCCTCCCCTGGTATAGTTCCCTGGTCTTTCTACCTAGTGTTGTTGCTGCCTGAGACACCTATTTCTGCCTTCTTTGCCAGGCTAATTCCTCTTCACCCTGCAGAGCTCAGCCTCAGGGTCTTCTCTGCGAGATGACTTCCTTGCACCCCCTCCCTCTCCTGCCCCGTTGGCCTGGTAATGTGCCTCTCCTCCTTGCCTACCTGACATCTTCAGCCTACGCCTTTCGTAGCATCATTACACACTATTATAATTGCGGATTTATTTGTCTGCCTGTCCCAGTAGTCCTTGGGGACAGGGAATGAATGGTAATCACCTTCTTATCTGTACCACGTAGACCCATGGCTGTACTTCGTAGGCACTGGTTGATGGATGTCCAGGGAAACGGACCAGGTTAGGAACCACACTTAGCACCATGGAGAGGTCCCAAGGAGAAGCCCTTTGTCCTGATTTCCAGGCAGCCTTGTTGGCCTGGAATTGCATTTCCTCCTGGGAACTGAAGTCCTTTGAGCTTCAGCATGTCCAGGTCCTGTGTTTTCTGGCCCCCTCAGCTGTCTCATTCCGTCTTTGTTGAGCTGCAGCGGATTAACCTAAGTGAAAGCGAATAGACGATTTCCTATTAACATTTATATTGCTTTTCTTTTCTATTTCTTGACGAGGCTCTGAGGCCTGGGATGGCTGCGGAAAATGTTCTTTCATCTGAATAATGTCCCGGTTGGGGGCTGGATTCGGCTTTTTGCTGGGCTGTGGAGAAGAGTGGGTGTGGTGGATGCATGAGCCCAGCGAAAATGAAGGCACAGAAGTCAGTCCAGAAACTGCAAGTGAGATTCAATAAATGTGTCTTGAGTGCCCACTGCGTGTCTGCACCCGTGCTAGGGCTTGGCGTATGGAATGAACGTCTAGCATTTATTAAGTAGTTCTCACATGCCAAGCATTGTTCCAAGTGCTGTCATTTTATCATCTCTTTGACTTCTTAGAGCTTCCCTGTGAAATGCAGGTCTCGTTATTGTCCGAGTTTTACAGATAGAGAAACTCAGCCAGAGAGAGGGCGCTTCGTGTTCAAGATCACACTGTAGTAAGTGGCGTGGGCTCCAGATGCCCACCTTGCAGACAGGAAAGACTCAGTCCCTCTCCCCAAAATGCTCCTGGTCTGGAGGTGGTGTCTGACCTGGCAGTGCACTGAAGGGTGAGTGAGAGATCCACAGGTAGTCAAAGGTTTTGAAGGGCAAAAGGCAGAGGGGATAATAGAAACAAAAGCAGGGAAGTGTGAAAGTAATTATTTCGTTCAGGGAAGAGTGAGTAGCAATTCAGGGTAGTTTAGGTTGCTTTTAAGCTTGTAGGAAAGGTTGACAAGGGAGCCAGAGACCTGAGGCACAGGCGGGTGTAGCCAGAGAATGGATTTCCCAATCTATGTCCTGGAGGTCAGCAGCTGTGGGTGAGGACGATGATGTCCACAGTAGTGTCCCTCAAATTGTAGTAGGCATACAGATGTCCTGGGATCTTGTTAAATGCAGCCTCTGATTCCTAAGGCTGGGGTGGCCTAAGAGTCTGCTTTCCTGACAAGCTCCCAAGTGATGCAGATGTGGTTGGTACCCAGATCACACTTTGAGCAGTGAGGGTGTAGAGGGGAATGCAGGCGCCGTGGGGTGAAGATGCTTGGGTATCAGCATGGTACCTTACTTTGCTGTCAGGCTAAAGGGTCGGCTGGGTCTCTGATGATGTTCTCAAGAGGAATGGCAGTAGATGGAGGGGAAAATGAGGAGTTGGGGGTAAAGGTGTTCAGCCAAGGAGGAGGAAGAACCTGGAGCTGTTCAGTTTAAAAGGAGGCCGATGGAAATAGAGCAGCGTGTCAGTGACAGACTCAATAGCATATGACAGCAGGTCCCCATAACAGACCGGAGGGAAGTTTATTTCTCTCCCACATCCAAGAGGGCAGGAGGTTGGCAGGAGGTAGGGTGGTGCAGTGGTTTAATGGTGTCATTTGGTTCTAAGAATCCTTTCAGCCTTGCCATCCTCAGCTCTAGGCTGAGGCACCTGGACATCCAATATGGCGCTTGAGCATCAACGTCCTTGTTGTAGGCCAGCAGCCAAGAGGAAGCAAGGGAGAAGGCCAGGACGGGCACATGTCTCAGTGGGCAGACCGCCTCTGAGTGGCCTTTCTGAAGTCCCACAGCCACACTTAGCTGCCATGGAGGCTGTAAGATGTAGTTTTTTTCTCTGGTTATTTTGTCCCCTTGAATGTAAGCAGGTGCTGTTCCTATGCAGAAAAGGGAGATTGGATATGGCTCAGCAACTTGGCAGTCCTTGCCACAAGTGGGATCCCTGGGGAGAACTTCAAAGGGGGGAGTGTTGAACTAATCAGGCTCGTAGAGTGCAGCTGAATGACAGCCCTGTGTACTCACAGGGCTCTGAATCCGCTCAGGCCCTTTGCTCATCCTAGTTCCTCAGTGTGAGTGTCTCTCCCCTCTGTCATAGAAAAGCTGTCCAAAACCTCACCCTACAAGTTCCAGCTCCACTGCCACCTCCTCCGAGAAGCCCACCAGGACTCTTGAGTTAGAATCAGTCATCCATCCCCTGAACAGAGCGTGGTATTGGCACCTCCGTCAGCCTGCATTTGGTCCCATTTTGTATTTTATTTAGTCATTTGCACATGTACTACTTCTTCAGATTGCATTCGACCCCCAGCACAGTGCCTGGCGCACGATGAATTCCCAGGACGTTTTAGAGAAACTTCAGTGAGTAAGTTAAACTGGAGCGATCGAGCTGAGGGTGTCCGGTGGTAGGTGTTTTTCCCAGAGCATCGCTTCTTGAACTCTAGTGTGCCTCAGAGTCAGCTGGAGGGCTTGTTAGAACGACGCCTCTGCCCCCAATTTCTGATTTAGTAGGTCTTGTGTCGGGGGTAGGGGGAGTCTAAGAATGTGCACTTCTAGCAAGTTCCAAGATGATTCTGACGCTGCTGGTCCGGGGACAAGCCTTCGAGAACCACTGTCCTCAAGAAACACACCGATTTGCTGCTTTCCTCAGGTGAAACCTGCAATTTAAGTCGGGCCTGAAAATAGACATGGGGAGTTCAAAACAGGGAAATTAAGTCAGTGGATGAACCAATGGAGAAATATTGGGGATTGAGGGTGCTTTGGAGTCTTCTTCCCAATTTTCTTTCAAAGAAATTTCCTGTTTGACCTAATCTCAGATGCTGCCAATTGTAGCACACACCATTATTTTATATAAAGCCAATGAATTAAAAAGGTTTTTAATTAAACAGTGGCACAATGGTTTCTTATCCCTTTGAATCTTTTATATCTATTGAAAGAGCCCATTTAGACCTGATTAGATGGGTTTTTATTATATTATACTGCTATGCCTGCATATATGGGAGAACATCGGCAAATATATTGGTTCAGGGGTTACTAAACCTTATTCATATCGAGTCTCACTTTTTGAATCTCTTCTTGACTCGGTGTCAGCGCCACCTGTGTTTCTGTACCTTGTGCCATCCTCCAAAACCATTGCGAGCCTCAGATCTCTTCTAAGATGCCCGCAAAGGCGCTGAAGCCCACTTTGCAGCTCTGTGCAGCTCGCCTCCCCCTGGCCTCTCTCTCAGGACTGTTGCCACCGCATCTGGTT